ATGCCTATATGTGCGCTATAGGATGAAAACCTTTCACCGTCACGCATATAAGGTATACTAATCTCATGTGGTTGCGACTTCTGTGCACCAAGATCCAAGTTCATCGACTTCCCAAAGAAAACGTATATATGGCGAGTATATGTAACTGGCAAACTCGACGAATTCAGCATAGCTCTCAACAACGGGTTCGAAGCCTTATAAGATCTATTCACCGAACAGGAAACTATTATGGAGGACAACTGGAATGGGGTCATCGTCGTCATCGGTGACAATCGATTTGCCATCCTTACCTAGTACCCGTTTCCTAATAACTGCGTTACTTACTCGGTGGTACCAGGATATACGAGCAATATTTCGAAGACACCTATGATCAAATACTAGTAACCTACGGATATCCTCTACTCTTACCGGCCACGTTTCACTGCCATAAAGTAGGACGGAACGAACTGCTGAGCAGTAAACACGTTCTTTGGTTGATAGACGGATATCTCGCCTACGCCATAAATGACGCAGGTTGGTAAAAGCTAGTCGAGCCTTCGGTATCCGCGGTGGGATTTCGTCACACACCAGACCACAAGAGCTGATGAGACTTCCAAGATAAGTGAAGCGATCGATACGCTCAATTACTTCACTCCCTATCACTAGTTTGGGTGTCGATGCAACCCAATCCTGAAGCAACATTTTGCATTTCGAGGGAGAGAATAGCATCCCGAACATGCTTGCATTGTTGCTTAGAGTGGTCAGAAGACTCTGCATTTTGTCAGCGTTCTCACCAAATAGAACTATGTCATCGGCATATTCCAAGTCAACAAGTGAATCTCTTGGTAGAAGTTCAACCCCTGGAAATCTACACGAGGAAAGTGTTATCTCCAAAATTACGTCGACCACAAAGTTGAACAAGAATGGAAAGAGTGGACAGCCCTGACGAACACCACTTGAGGTAATCAATTCTGATGACAGTTCGCCATAAGCTCTCACTCTACCAGTTGTGTTCGAGTAGAGAGCCTTTATAAGGTTAATGTACTTCTTTGGTACTCCTTTCAGTGACAAACACAACCATAGAACCTCACGATCAACAGAGTCGAATGCTGCCTCAAGGTCGAGAAATACTACCATTGTGGGGCGTCTGGACGTGTGTCTATGTTCTAGAACCTGATGTAGTGTGAATATCTGATCCATACAACCACGTCCAGGTCGAAAACCAGCCTGATTTTCTTTAGTCTGTTCTTCACGAGCTTTGGTTAGGCGTCGAAGTATTATTGAAGCTAATATTTTAGACACTATATTAGTCTAACTGATTCATCTGTGATTGTCACAAGAGGACTTTTGTCCTTTCTTAAAAACTGGCACAATCAGTGATTGAAACCAGTCAGATGGGATTACGACCAGTCCCCAAATTCTACCTAAGACCTCAGTTAATCTCACTGCTAATACTGGACCACCATCCTTAAAAATCTCAGGAGTAAGCCTGTCAGGGTCTGCTGCTCTCCCTCGCTTCAGATTTCTTATGGCTTTTTCAACTTCGTAAAGAGACGGAGGACCTATATTAACTTGCCATTCTGGTTGACTGGAGATCGTGGGAAACCGAAGTGTGGCTGAAGGCCAGTTGAACTGATCCCTAAAGTGTTCCGCCCATCGATCCAATCTCCTGGATTGAGAATGTATAATATGTCTATCTTTCTCTGAGAGTGTTTCGCTAACAGTCGGTTTCCTAATACCGGTTTCCTTAACAAGTCTGAACAATTGTCTGCTATTACCTATTGCCGCTGCATTTTCCATCTCTCTTGCTTTCGCTACCCACCACTGTTCACGATCATTGCGTAGACTTCTTGTTAGTTTGCGCTTAAGCTGATTCCGCTCTTCGTTATGTTCAGAGCCAGGTGGAATGAGTTTCCGAGGATCTATCAGTGCGAAAGATGCTGTTGAGATCCAGTGTTGCTCCCTAACTTTACGGTTTACCTTACTAGCAGATATCACTGCTGTTTCCACAGCTTTTCGGATATCATTCCATGCTGCATCGGGGTGGGCATCACATACATGGCTGCCTAACTGTTTTCCTAGTTGTTCCTGAAATATACTCTTAGCTTGACTATCATTAAGTAGGCCCCTAAGAGGTTTCCTTGCAGAGTCTTTCCTACGTCCAGTAAGACGCAGGAAAATACGCGCTCGCACTAGAGCATGATCTGAATCTAGGCATGTGCTCCAGAATGAGCGACAGTCTTCTATCGAGCCCCTCCATCGGTGGCTGATAACGATGTGATCTATTTGGGTCCAACGTTGGGACGAATTAGGGATCAAAGAACCATTAACTTCAACATGTCAGAAGGCACTCAGCCTCAAGAGCCATTATCATAAGGAATGGATCTCTATCGATAACCTAACCAAGATTTAAAAGAGGAAGAACAAAAAGACACCCATTAACGACAGCTGAACAAAATCAGAGAAAGTCAAGGCATAAGCTAATACACGGAAACAAACAAAAGAGTGGAGAGGAGCATTAAAGCGGACAAGCAGAAATACGTGGAAGAGCTCGCAACGACATCGGAAAAAGCTCCAACAGAAGGAAATATCAAACAGCTATATGACTCAACGAATAAACTAGCAGAAAAATATAGTAAAACAAAGAGATCGATCAAGGACAAAGAAGACAATACAATCACTGAAATTCAAGAACACAGGAACAGATGGATATAACAATTCGAGGAACTCTTGAGTAGGCCAGCTCCATTGAACCCAACGGACATCGAAGCAACACACACAGATCTTCCTATAGATGTCACTCCACCAACCATCGAATAGATTAGGATGGACACCAGACATATCGAGATTGGGAAAGCAGCTGAACCTCACAATATGCCACATGAAGCTCTGAAGTCAGACATTGCACTAACTGCAAACATGCTCCACATTCTATTGAGGAAGATTTGGGAGGAAAAACAAGTGTCACCGACAGACTGGAAAGAAGGACACCTCAACAGAGTGTTGCTAAACCAGATGAAAGACTCGGTACACGACCAACTTCGAGATCAACAGGATGGATTCCGTAATGATCAGTCGTGCACAGACCAATTCGCAACACTATGGCTGATCATCGTTGAACAATCAGTTGAATGGAAGGCGTCACTATACATCAACTTGCTTGACTAGGAGGAATCATTTGACAGTGTGGACACGAAAACATTATGGAACCCCCATCGACACAATAGAGCACCTAAGAAGATTGTCAATAGCATAAGGAATTCATACGACAGACTACACTGCAAAGTGATGCATGGCGGACAGCTGACAGGTGCACTCAAGTAAGGACCAGACAAGGCTGTCTACTCTAACGCCTTCCCTTTCATCTGGCGGTTGATTGGATTATGAAGACCTCGACATGTGACAAGAAGTACGGAATAAAATGGACAGCTGGAAATCAACTAGACGATTTTGACCTGGCCCTTCTATCTCACACACACGAATAAATCCAGGTCAAGAAAAACAATGTAGCAGTAGCCTCTGCATCAGTAGGTCTCAACATACACCTAGGAAAAAGCAAGATCCTCAAATACAACACAGAGAACACCAACCTAATCACACTTGATAGGGAAACTCTGGATGGTGTGGAATTTTTCACGTATTTGAGTAGCATCATCGACGTACGTGGAGGATGTGATGCATACATGAAGGCAAGTATTGTCAAATCAAAGACCGCATTCCTACGGTTAGAAATCATATGGAACAAGCCAACATCAAAGGAAAACCAAAGAACACACTGCATCGAGAATTGGAAACATACACCAAAAGTATGAATAGCGAATTGATACAACTGGAAAGGAGTGCCTAGGACCGAGTTGGATGAAGGATGCTGGTGGGAGGCCTATGCTCCTCCACGAGGGGTAACAGGCGTAAGTATGTTTGAAATATATATTTGTCGAAATGACCTATCTCAAAATAAATCCTTTAGATCACTTTGTTATCAAAATGAATGGTGTAGATTGGTGATGAATTTATTCCACATTGAAAAGCGTTAGGGTGGTTGTAAAGTAAAAATAAGCAAGAAACTTATTTTCCAACTAACAAGTGTTTAAGTGTTATAAATGATGTAGAAAATTTCAGACGTAAAATATTGTCTGATTTGAATATTATAAAATATCACATATATATGGTTGAAGTGTTATTTATTATGTGTAATTTTTAAAAGTAATCTTCATTATATGCTGAAGATAAATAAACATTGAATATTTATTTCACAATAGTTTTGGACTCTCTTTAACGATATGTAATGATATCTCCATCCGGGATCGGGACTTAAGACCTTCAAGTCTAATATCAAGCACAATAGCCTGATATCACTACTTTGAATATCAGTCAACATTATTCTCAATATAGTTCAATACATATTTCAATCTCATCAATGAGTTACTGGTTTACTCTCGTCTCATACTTGGTTGACTGTATGGAGGTTACAGTTTCTCACTAGAATACCATATTGCCCATCTTCGTCATCAAGTGGATGTCTTGAAAATAATGAGAGGAGTAATATGCATAAAAATAATTGTATATCCACAACTAACACCTACCTATAGCACTGTGAGTCTATGGAGAAGAAATATCTTAAAATCACATACATGTCTTGTATTTCATGATACCATTTCTCTTTTTTAATCAAAATATCATGGAAGACAAAATACAGAATAACATAAAGTAATAATTTGTTATCTTGAAATGAGTCTCCTTTTATATTTCATTTCTTAAATGTTGTTTTTATATTAAGGTCACCAGCTTAGAGCGTTTTATGCTTTCCATTACCCGATATATTTGTTAGTAATCAAAAAACAATAGAATTTCCTGAAACTAGGATTTGAACACATTTCTCAATTGGAATAGTTTTAAAATATCTTAGCAACTATATCGTGTTAAGATAAGCCTTGTTTCTATTTAAAATTAAAGGTATAAACTATTGAATTTAATTAAGTATTTATTTAGAGTTATTTCAATAGAATAAGATGTATTATTTTAAAAACAATTATATTGTGTCTTTGTTTTATTGTTAAATACACAATAAATGAAATCAAGTGTTTGTTTAATGATCTAGAAATACAGAATAGAATTTAAGAAAGAAAAATAATAATATATGATTGCTAATATGATTGTTAAAAGACTAGATACATTGCATAATGTGTGAAATAATGTTGAAATTGAATATGAATGAACATTTGATGAGTGCTATTTTGAAACACAAATGGCTCCTATGATTATGTTACAGTCTATTTCATATTGTATCTGTTTATATTTCTGTGTGAAATTGTACAATTATTTCACGAAATATAAAAAAAATATAAACTAATTATATTGTAAGGGATGATAATGCTACTTGGTTTCTCAAACTGAAATAACACCTCTAGCCGTTGTATATAGAAAATGATCTTAAAACCGAGTACACGGATGGTTACCAAGTTGTACACGTAGTCATCCAAGGTAAAAATATTCATGATAATACATTCGTGTCACATATGATTGTAGATTTAATAATCTTTAATGGAGATTGACTTAAGAATATTTCACCATTAGCCATATACGAGTAATAGTATTAAAAATACTGTAACACAGGCTTTAACCCAGGTCTGCATACCTCAGTTTCGGAGGATATTGTTATCAACTCTTAAGGCAATAAGCAACTGAAAATTTTCCTCAGAATAAACTTCATTGACTGAAAACCATTAATTATAACCACACATTTCAATGTGTTCATATTTATCAATTACTGAGTAGTACTATGTAGTCTGCTTAGCGTGTTTAACCAGGCTGCATAGTATGGGACGGAAACTTGGAGAACTACGAAAGCCATCATCTAGAAGATACAAGTGTTGATTAACAGTTGCCTACGCAAAATACTTCGGATACGTTTGCCAGACAATATCAGTAACAACCTACTGTGGGGGAGAACAAACCAGATTCCAGCGGAGGGAGAAATCAGGAAGAAGCGCTGGAAGTGGATAGAACACACATTGAGGAACGCACCCAACTGCGTTACAAGGCAAGCCTTCACTTGGAATCCTCAAGGCAAAAGGAGAAGAGGAAGACCAAAGAACACATTACTCCGAGAAACAGAGACAGACATGACAGGAATGAACAAAAATTGGATAGAACTAGAAAAGAAGGCCCAGAACAGTTTAGGTCGGAGAATGCTGGTTGGCGGCCTATGCTCCAGGCGCAAGTAAGTAAATAAGTAGTACTATGTAGCCTAATCAAAATTGATAAAATTTTATTGCTGAAGTCCACTCTAACGTTATTAAAGTAATCGACTTGACATTAAAGGACACTTACTTCAATGACAAATGAATAAAAAGTATTTTTCAATCATATATATTTTAAACTTTCTGAGAATATCTTACAATTCAAAGATGAAATTAACGTACCAGCTAATGGAGCACCCAATGCACTGGATATACCACGACTTAATGTTATTAAACCAACAGCTGTAGTAAGTTCATCCATTCCAACTAAATCATATAATATAATTGTGCTAAGAGTGGAAAAAACACCTTGACAAAAAAGAAAATAACATAACAAAGCGTTTAGAAGCAATCAACAAAAAGTCTTAAAGAAACTAACTCTTTCTCTCTTCAATAAAATTCAAGTCCTATTATTTCTCTTATAAAGATCTATTTTTAGATGTTATATGCTGAATTTATAAAATGTTTTAATTTGTAGAAAATGACTTTTCTTTTTTAAAGAAATATTACTTATTATAGTATTAAATGAAATAAGGAATAGTCTACAACAACCTGTATATGTTTATTAGATACCTTGTTTCATATATTGAAGAGCTCAAATTTACTTAATAATAAGTAATAGTGAGGTTAGACACAAGGTATTAGGGAAATGATGGTTGTAAATCTTCATAGACTGAGATGGTTGGGTCACGTGTTACGCATGCCTGAACACCGGCTACCACGACGCACAATGTTGACTAGTGTTGGAAATGGTTGGAAGAAAGTTAGGGGCGGCTAAACCAAAACGTGGCATCAGTGCTTGAAGTCACTAACTTCTAATCTGTTGGTAGATGCATACTACTTGGTTGGGGTCCGCGTGACTATCGTGACCAATGGTTGGAGACTCTTGGTGACATGGCTCAGAATCGATCACAATGGCGTAGGTGTATACACTTTTTCTTCCCTTAAACTATGGGATTAAAATTATTTCATATCTTTCTTTCTACGAACTAATTCTTTCTTTCTGTACTATATCCTTACAAAAAAATCTTTCATTTATATATTACACCATTGAGTTAACTGTTTCTATGAATCCGATGTTCGTCTTGCTGTGCTAATGAGGTGTGGCGATTTGGACCGATGCATGTATGTGCCTGGTCCTACGTTGTAACTGACTGACTGACATAATAAGATTCTTGGCAAACGTTCATAATAAATCTAGTCAACTAAATTGAAATAGATTATTTAAAGTATAAACAAGAATGATCAATGTTCAATTAATTAATATTTCATAGCATTCTATACTGAAAAACTAATCTTGTATTACAAAAACAAAATTAACAAGAATACAGTGATACACACAACAAAATAAAGAAACGTCTTTTTTTCTTCTTTAGAAGATAGGAATAATTTTATAACGTACCAGTCAAAAAACCGTAGAATCCAAATGAAGTAGCCATGCTGATAAACGTTGTAAAAACAGGCATTAAACATACAAGTAGTCCAAGTAAAAATTGTGTAATAGATTGCATAATTAATGGAGAAACAAATGATAAACTGCTTAACCACGCAACAAGTAATCGTCCAATAATACTTGAAACACCTATTACATAATAAGTAAACGAATTTTTATATACATATATGGAATATTTAACATACTGAATATTAAATTTTCACAGTGCAATATAACTTCATATATTAGAAATAAACAGAACTTTTTTTGGAAATCCTTATAGTTATTATATGTGAAAATTACTGTCAAACTATTCGTTCTAATCTTGACGAATATTCGTATAAATCCTTATAGTTGTTTCCATGCAATATCGAATACTCAAAATGAAGCTATTTCAAACTAAAATTTAATTAGATAGATAGTTCCAAGGTGTATCAGTAATCTCAAACGAGATACAGTCTCGTGATCATCATGTTTCGATGAGTACTTACGAGAAGCCACAAACCAAGTTTGATTTTACAATGTTACTCTAGTTGATATTAGTCAGTGGTGTGAATCGTTTATGAATTACAACCTTTTTACTCATGATGAGAGATCTATATCCATTAAATGTAGAGAAAAGTGTTGCTTCTAATAAATTTACAGTACATTCAAAATATACTAAGTAACTCAGTGATTAATAGATATTTACTACGATTCAGCATCCAGAAACTATCCATCCATCCTTAGGAATATATATGTATGCACGGTTAGGGAAACAAGAGAAATCAAATTATTTCGTACATATGTTGGCAAAAAAAAATTTTTCTTTAATTAACAGGAAGTGATGAAAAACGAAAACAGATAACCTAAGACGAACATTAATTTGTGAAATGAATTTATTATTATTATTATTATTATTATTATTATTATTATTATTATTATTATTATTATTATTACTATTATTATTATAGTTTATTTATATAAACAGACAGCTTTAGTTAAATTTTTTTTCATCCGGTGGTGATAACTCTATACAATCATCACAGGTCAGAGATGTGATGAAATGGACATGAAATACATAACTTGTATGATGTTTAACAGATTAATGACTATGCTTCATTTTAAAGGTGACTTTCATGATTAACTTATATTAGTTGGTAGATTATGTCAAGTCAGAGAGGATTTGATATCTCTTGTATCATGGTTTGCATTTACTAAACAGTGGAAGCCCACAATCTTAAAACCTTTAACCAAGGTTTGATTTGATAATTTCGAATAAGTTGAGCATTGGTTAGATTGTTATAAATATATTATTTATTTAAAACCTTTAAGTCTCAGAGAACATGATCTCGTGTGAAGTATGGTGAGTGTTCACTATACAAGAATTTCAAATGGTATCGTAACGGGTTAGTTCTCCAAATTAATATTAATTAGTGATGAGAACCATATCTAAAACATATAACATCTTCATACGACCTCGTAAATAAATGTATAGGATAATAATGCAACAGCTATATTGATTACTGTCATTTTTCATGATATTTTAAATTTATTGTTTTATTATTAAATTCTTTTTTATTGATTTCTGAGGTTTTCTGTATAATTAGTTTTACAGTTTCGTCGGATTTTCTGCAATCTAATATTTTGACCAGTATTAGACAGTAGTCAGTAATTCATTATGTAATAATATATAAAGGTATTATGAGAGAAAAACGTAAATTATATTGTAGTTAACAGATAAAACACTTAAAAAAGTACTCACCCATAATTGATAAAAAATAAGATGACAGTTTAGTAGATATGCCATAAACTGAAGCAAAATCACTAACATAAATCAATGGAACATACATACCTTGATTGATTATTTTGTACAAACCAATCAATAATAGGTCGTACATTTGAAAATAATGAAAATATAAAAAAAAACAATAAAAATAATATCGATTTGATTAGCAGGTCATAGTATAAAATAATGGTATTGAAATGTTAAATAAATAAGTAAGTAGAAAGTGATAAGTATCAGAAGGGGTTTTGTGGAAATTGTAGTAATTTCAGTAGTTGAAATCATGAGTCAATTGAAGCCAGACCACCATGGAAAAACTGGAAGCACTAGACGAGAATGATAGGACCTGGGTTCCAATCCCACAAGGCAGGGTCGTGGATGCGCACTGCTAAGGAGTCCCACAATAGGACAAAACGGCCGTTCAGTGCTTCCAGGTTTTCTTTCCATGGTGGTCTAGCTTCAATTGACACATGATCTCAACCATTGAAAGTGATAATAATTACATTAAGAAAGTCACTTAAGTAATCATTGATTTTCAATGAACTGACTGATCACTGATGAATGATATAAGACAAATAGTAAATCTCTATTAATGACAAATGTATCTTAGCTAGTGCATGATTAGCTTGGTTGTCAATACGATACATTAATGTAGTATTAAATGTGTCTGTCTTAAAAGAATAAAAGATAGAATTTCAAAAATCTGTTACATGGTTTGCAGTGTCGGTTACTATGTCAAGCCAACATACCTACCTTATTCTAGCTTCTGGACAAGTCAATTTATCAATTCTTCTTGAGTCACGACGTGTTAACCTTGTTAGTTATTCACTTATCAACTCTGACTGTTTTTGTCTGAGCGTATGTGTGTGTACACTCCTTGATCAAATGGAGTTAGCTTATATGCCTTCTCCGATGCGTGTTCTTTCGTTTTGCTTCGCTTCATTCGCTGCGATTCTCTGATTGTCTGTTCCGACCAACGGGTGTACTAAATATACGTATTCAAACATCCATTCTCGTATTTGACTTATTTAATCCCATTATTCACTAACGCGATTAGATCAATAATTATATATGAGGATTGATGATATGTATATTTCAATAGCGATCAACATACGATCCAATCGGAGTCGGATCACGGGTTACTAAAGGTTATAATGATAATAGCATTTCGAAGACAGAGCCTACAACCTATTGGATTTTAAAAAATAACTTAAAAGAAGGTTGATATACCATGGTAGTTGGCATAAGGTTAATTTGAGAAAAAAAAGGCTAAGTGTAGCGAAATCAAGACATACAATCAATTCATAAAGTTACTGTTCGACCCCCCCCCACACACACACAGGTGCAGACTTCTAGATTTGACTTCATAAGATAACTGTAGCCTACAACCTACAGTTATAACACGAAGTTGGACAATTCGGGTGTCATGACCAGAAATAGATTGCAGTAGCACAGTCACATCCCAATTCATTTACTTCCATAAATCTTGTGTCTTAATATTAATTTATAGATTTCATTCTTCAGTTTTAGTTGCCTTTTTTGAACTACATTCTGTATGTTCAGATTTCCTTTAATACCATTGTTTTTTCAATGCATTGATTCCCGCTCATTGTGATATGGAGTGTGACGATATATTTTCGAGGTCTTAGGTTTTTATATGATAAATGATTGAAGACATGGATGCTTTTATCGTTATCAAATGGAAGAAATTTACATTTCAACCTTGTTGAATTTTTACATGTAGATATATAATAAAGATAAATTTCACTTGTGAAAGGAATTAACTTTAAAACTATTGAACATAACGGAGTATTAAATAATTATTCCATGATAGTTTGAAACATTGTTGATTTGATATCAGTTTAAACTAATAGTATCACCTACGAATCTATTTCTTAGAAATTATTCAGTTCACAAAGAGGTGTACACAAAATACAAAGTATGTAACTTACCCAATAAACCAATTAAATTAGAAATCCACAATATTAAATATTTTGGTTTGAATAATAATGATAAGTCTAACATAGTACCTAATACATCCAGTATAGGTTTTAAAGAAACACAATTACAGCATTGAATAAAACGAGTGTATCTTGTAACTTCGGTTAAATCATTAAAATCATTTATGTTTAACTCATCCATAATATCAGCTTCATGTTGATTAGGAAATGCTTTATTTACACGTTTATAGATTTGTTTTTGTTTAACAAGAAAACACGGGCAACAATCCGGTAATTTTTGTGAATAAAATAATGAAGAGCATAAACGACAATCACGGAGGCGTCGAATACCAGTTAGACAAAAACCACATAAACAAATATCATCCACCACACTAACATGATCAGCATTATCATCTTCACCATGATCAACATCATCAGCATAGGCTCCATGACGAATATTACCACCACCACCACCACTACCACCGGTTTCATCATGAATTCTACTATCATAATCAGGAAAACTCTTATGTAGTTTTTCATTTAAACTCTGTTTAGCTGATGGTAATAGAAGACCTCTATTGTCATCATTTGGTAATGGTATACTAGTTAATGAGACAATCATTGATTCTATCCAATTAGATTGTGACTTACAAAATCCTGACTCATGTTCATCACCGTCACTAAGTGTACCATAAGAACCATCAACATGACTATGATCGATAGTATCATTTAATGGAACTGTTAAACATGAATTAGTCATACGATATATATCATTTAATTTGTTTTGCATTTTTCTATCTACATCTCCAGTTGATTTCATTTTAGTAATTGTTGAATAATATTCCTTTGGTATTTGTGGCATTGGATTACCTCTGAAATAAACAGAAAAAGAAGTTGATAAGTGACAAATGATTTCCAGTAAGCCATTAGAGAACGAACGTATGCATACATATATGTTCTTTTTTATATTTTAAGGAAAAAGATAGACAGTGACACAATCAAAACAATAGGATCTTTCAGATTTTGTTCAGTAAGCTATTTTAATTAACATTCTAGTAGAGGGGATTGTGGAGATCGCTGAATTTCGTAGTTCTGTATCGCGGAATGACTTAATTTAGATAGCCATTGAGAGACAAGAAGCACTGTACAGCTGTTTCATTTCAGTATGGAAACCCTCATCGATGAAAATTCACGACTCAAGCAGGGATTGAACATAGGATCTTCAAATCATTCGATGACATTATCAGACAGGGATGAGGGTTCTAGAATATCAAGTCGGAAAAGTGCGGCGTACATTTCCAACTTACATCAAATAGCCATTCAACGGTATACTAATTTTATTTACCTATTTTCTCAGCTGATGTTAATTGTGAAGAAAAATTGCTTAAAATTTAACTCACTTTTGTCAACCACCCAAATATTCAGACAAGAAGTTATCATTTAGGGGATCGATGAAATGACATTAAAAGTAAACTTTGAAGTTGGACTGATTAAAAAACCAGCTAGACTATTTTAACAATAAATCGATTCAATAGACTGAAATGTCCCTTTTTCACTATCGAAAACTCATTCAGAAAAAATGAAATAACACGACATAACAGAGAAGCGAACAACGGAAAAATTTTTTTCGCATAAAACGAACCTTAGAAATAGAGTAGTTACTCTCATTTATTATAAATCTAGTGTTCATGATGATATTCGATATTACAGATGTTGAAATGAAATTGATACAAAGTAGATACACTGTTGTTGTAAACAAGCATCCATATATATATATTTTGATAAACTCCATGCTAATTAAGCGAATATGCTGCATTCGGTCAGAATCTTCGATTCTTCACCATTCTGTCACTTAATATATTTAGATTAGTATAACTTTTTTTCATTCACAATTTATTGTTTTACGTTATGTAGTCCTGTTAATATTTCATATGCACCACAAAAATCACAAAATTTGTGTGTGGGCAAAAGATGTAATAATGAAACTGTTTTCAGTATTTTTGACCAGCTACAAAGTTATATGAAAAGTATTCTAACTAACAGAGAGCATCTGCTTACTACAAGTATTCTAACAAGATGTAAACAGCTAGAAGAATGGATTTTACTATTCAGATATTACCAATATTCAAAGTCATTATACAAGTTTTTAGGGGAAAAGTGAGAATGTAATTTATGGACGACCTATGTGTGATATTAAAGTGACCGTAAGGATCAAAATGAGGCTATAAGTTAGTGTGAGGAATTAGGATTAAGATTTATAGCTAGAAGTCAGGGTTAAAGATTGGAGTTATGGTTTTCATCACGATCTGATATCAGCTACAATGCTGAAATGTCACTAAGCCGTATGGATAAACGAATTTGGCATCAAAATTGAAGTCTCACTATCTTAAATCTGATTGATTCGTCCATAAATTAAACTAAATAACATAACAGTGGGAGCATTTCATCCACTGAGTGGATTATGCGCATTATTCCAAGTCATTTTTTGCCTGAACAATAGATGGATGATGAAAAGATGGATTATAAACAACCTGAAACCTAGTTTCGATTCAACTTGTCATATTCGGTTGAAATAAAATGTATCAATAACGCTTATCTCACAAATTTTGAGTAATTCCATAGAATTCACATCAGTTTATACCTCTAAAGGCTATTGTGTCTCGCCACTGATAAATATCTGATGGACACATAAATATATATTCTTTTGCTTACAGTTACTGAAAAGAAATACAATCAAGAACAATTTTGATCCATATTTATCACCAAGTACAAGTTAGTATGGTTAACTATGACCGATACTTTTGTTGCGCGAGAAATAATGGAACTACCTTCCTCCATAAACCAAACTATATATATATATATATATATATATATATATATATATGAACTTCTGACCTAATGGTTGAAAACTGAACGCTTTAATCAGCCGACTATCACTCTTCTCAACAATTTTTAGATTCAAATGTAGAATTATAACCTAATACCTATGAATAATAGTGGATTTCCTAAAGATCAATTTTTAATTCATTTATACTGGTCATTTGACTCTTTCCATTGATGTTTAGGATGGCAATCAACTATTTTCTTCTTTCACATCTGAATCCTTTGTGGATTGCCTCGATATTGTCACTAGGTCTGAAGCATTTTAGACAGATTTCGATGGTGGCTAGCAGTGGGGTCCTATTTAGAAGCAGTCAGCTGGATATACCTCTATCTGAGAGTTTAGGTTCAATCAGAGACTCGACTACATCTTATGAAAACAATCATATTCGTAGAAATATCAAAGAAACTTCAGTGGGATCCTCCACCTTAGGACTGATCGCGGAACCTGTAACTCAAAAACTCGAGGGTACAGATCTACTAATAATGAAACCAAACATGGATACATTTTGTAGATGATATATATCTTATACTGGGAAGGAAAAAACTCTAGAATACTGATGAAATGATTAAAAACATTTTCGTTGGCATCAAATTCACAAAAGAAGAAAAGGAAGAAAACAGAAAGTTCGTCCTATTCTCAAAGTGGCATGAAATTCAGTCAATTATCAAAATCTTAGAGTTTTCAGTCAATACTTTTAGTACTTATAAGTAGTTAATGTGAACAGCGGAAATTTTGAAGAAAACACCTGGAAAAACCAGCTCTATCTATATGTCGGGGATCAAGTATAGAATGCACAAATTCACTTTATTCTTAAGTAGTCAGTCGTTTGGTTTTCCACTTTATTACCATTTTGGATTGTGACATTGTTATTCGTGGAAATTTTATCACTTTCTCTTATTGGTTGCAAAAACTATCATTTCTTATTGTCTTTCCAAAAGAAATAACGAACGAATATTCCGTCACACGTTAAAATCCAATTCTTTCTATAAGGTAAGGGCATTAGTCATTTAGACTCAAATTAAAAATTGGTAAGAGTGTATATCAATCCAGATTTTCATAGCTAACAACGTGATAAGCGATGGAGAGGATTTAATTGCAATAATAATGTTAAAGGATTAGATAATGCGGTCGAAAAGGAGGAAATGAGACGAATTAAAAGTTAGGAATGCCAATTAACTAAATACTTAGGAGATAAAAAAATGAATAGTACTACTTTTCGGGACATCCCCATACGCCTCCAACCGTGGATGACCACTATTGTGTGGGCTTCAACGAGGAACTCTGGACATAACAATACGGATCAAAACAGTAGTCAATAAATTAGTGAATTTATACTACATCTTGATCTGAACACCACTAAATATTTAATTACTTGCTCGTAAATCAGTCAGCGTTGCTCAACAGAATAAGTGATGGCATGGCATATGTGCAACACAAGTTCTAACCATCTCAGTCAAAGACTGTTTATCGTCTCACCAATCAACTTACCATTTAAAATGAGCTTAAACATTAATAAGCCATATTTCACACCTAAAGAGCAAAGCTGAGCAAATTGTTGTGCAGTAGAAACTTCCCAGCTAATTGAAGAAGTTAAAGAGATAGATTACTAGACTCACTACTTATGGTCAAACTAGGGATTGACTCAAACTAATCCCTGAAGCAACATTTCATATTAAGGGGGCAGAAGGATAAAAACGCATCCAAAAATTATTGGATTATTATTCAAAAGGTTTAGGAAAGTTTGCACATGTCAGACAAAACTACGTCACCTTTATACTTTAAATTGACAAGTGAATCTTCTAGCAAGGAGTCAAATTCCTAAAACGTAAAATGAAAGTGCTTTTTTCTGAAAGCATATGAGTGATAAAATTAAATAAAAAATGCAGAAAGAGGGCAGTCGTAGTGAACACCACTGAACCATGTTTCACCATATTTCTTTCCTCTAATATCTATCATGTATTCAACTTAGTTTTAACAAGAAATCCACAATAGGTAAACAAAGATAACAATAATGATATCTAGTCAAACAAAATGAACTAGTTAAACTTGACGAAATCTGAAGCAGAAGTAAGAAAGGAAAAGTAGTAGAAAATAAAAAAGATGGTAAAACATTTATTTAGGACATATGTTGTGTAATAGAAAGCAAATAAGGACTAATATTGACGATTTAAAAGAAGAAAAAAGTTAAATAGTCATTATGATAGATAATTCTCTATTCGATTGGTTCTATCCAATCATTGATTGGTAACATCTGAAGAATACTAGACATATAGTCTACACCTTATCATATATATCAATTAAAAGCAGTCAACTTCATAGATGTGTCCCGTATCCTAGTTCCGGTCAACCTTTAACCAACATAATCTCTGTTTTTAATAATTGAGATCATGAGTCAATTGAAGCTAGACCACCACGGAAAACCCCTTCTGATACTAATCAACATATACTCACTAATGACTGGCTTCAAGATAGATTTCCTAGAGTTCTAGTGAGAAGCCGTGACCAGCGGAGTTCAACCGTGTCTGTTGTGAGACCGTTACTCACTGAAGACAATAGTGGATGGTCGCGCAATATCGTGGATTGGTTGAACTTAGACATTAACATCGTTGGATGCCGGCTCAGTGATCTAGTGGTTAAGCATTCGCGTGCGAGACCGATGGGTTCTGGGTTCGAATCTCGCAAGGCAGGATCGTTGATCCGCACTGTTGTGGAGTCCCACAATAGGACAAAACAGCCGTCCAGTGCTTCCAGGTTTTCTATAGTGGTCTAGCTTCAATTGACTCATGATCTCAACCATTGAAATTACTACAATATGCACAAAACCACTTCTGACATAATCTCTATTAATAATTCAATTAAATTGTAAACATTATTTTCATTTGTTGTTGTTATTTAAGAAGATATAAGTAAACAACACCAAGTGAATATAATTTCACCCCATTACACAAGCAGGTAGCTATCAGAACTCAGTAGGCTAAGTAGATAACGCAATGGCGTTTGAAGAGAACGATATTGGATTCGAGTCTTAGAGTGAACATCAACTCTGTGATACAGGTACATCCAGCTGACCAGTCTCAAATAGAACGGAACGCATGTCCTAGATTCCAATATTGTAGCCACTATCCATCTTTACTTCTAAACGTTATTGTTTAAATTACTTTAATAAATCAATAAACTAGTTAAGGCGAAACTGTTTACCAAAGAATAATCGTTAAAATTTATTTCTCATATTTTTCTTTGTTAAATATATACATTATAATCTTATGTCAGTTTTAAAAAGATTGATGTCAAGGTCACTACATAATAAATCATTCTTCTTATCCAAATTCTTATTTCGAGTTCACTTACATTATGATTTATTTTTTTCAAAAAAAAAATTATCAGTTCCATTTGTTTTAAAGGTTGTTTCTTTTTTTCTCTCATTAGTTAATGAGTTTCAAATATCACTTCATTCAAAGGAATAATTTTACATTCCATCTCAAGGTCATATAGATAATACAATTGAGAATAGAATGTGTAGTGAAATATTGATGATATTTCTGCTTTAGTTTTTCAGTTTGTTTTTTTTTTTAAATGGGTTATATTGTGGTGTGTGCTATCTATATCGACATAAGTAGTATATGACGTTAGTCAAGAACAGAATGTCTGGTAGCACAGAGACAAGAGGATCGAACAGTAAAGAATCGAAACAGAATGTAATTTGTATAAAAATGCAAATACAATGAAGTCTGAGTCATTTGAAGACAAGTGATGGACATTTTGAAAATTAAACATTTACTATATGATTGTTAGATTTTATTAACAAGTTCTGTAATTTCGTGTTAAATATGTTTGATTGTCCCCACTTGTGTTCTTGTTCTCTACAATATGACATTCATTAATAAAAGGCCGAAGTTATTATGATTGGTTGAGTTGGAATCTACACAAATAACTAATTTCTAGTTTAATTTATGTTAAATTTCTGTGTTTTCTTTCACCATAGAGATGTTTAGTCTCCATGATGACCTAGATTGTATGTGGAATCTACTTAGTTATGCATATTTGATATTGTATAGCAAAATAATTCAAAAAATGTGTTTCATCCTATTATAGGGTTAGTTATCTAGATATGCCTGCATCCCAGTGTTGATGTTCACAAAACTTTAACCCAGTACTTAATGATTCGAACGTCAACATGTGTTATCATCTATTAAGCTACTGAGCCTCAGTGTAAACATCAACATTGAGATGCAGGTGTACAAAACAAATAAAGGATCCAGTTAACGAGTCCTATATGCTGATAGAAACTGACCACACCCAATAATGAATATGAACAAATGGAAAACACAAACTCTTATGAATAAAAACAAATTTATTTGACTGATCAATAAATAAGAAGTAACAGATTGGCTCCACAAGTCTTTAAGTTGGTGGTCCAATTTTAGCGATTAGGTTGACTAATATTTTAGCTAATATCTGGGTGTTAGACGTTATCCCATCTGACTGGTCACAATAACTTATCGTCCCAATATATAAGAAAGGGTCAAAATCATCCTGTGACAACCATAGAGGGATTAGTTTAACTAATATAGTATCTAAAATACTAGCCTCGATAATTATCAGACGCCTAACTAAGACTCGTGAACTGCAAACACGAGGGAATCAAGCTGGCTTCAGACCTGGTCGTGGCTGCATCGACCACATATTCACAATTCGTCAGATTCTAGAACACAGGCATACTTATCGGCGTCCGACAATGGTGGTCTTCCTTGACTTAAAAGCAGCATTTGACTCGGTAGACCGCGAGATTCTGTGGCAGTGTCTGTCATTGAAAGGCGTACCCCAGAAGTACATAAACCTTGTGAAGGCTCTTTACTCAAACACTACTAGTCGAGTCAGAGCTTATGGCGAACTGTCATCTACTTTTGCAACCTCAAGTAGTGTCCGTCAAGGCTGTCCACTTTCCTCATTTTTGTTTAACTTCATCATAGACCTATTGATGGAAATAACATTCTCGTCTACTGAATTCTGGGGTATTGATCTCCTACCAGGAGGTCCACTTATCGACATAGAATACGCAGACGACATAGTCCTGTTTGGTGAAGACGCTGACAAAATGCAGTCTTCTGGTAGCACGAAGCAACAATGCCAGAATGTTTGGAATGCGCTTCTCTCCCTATAAATGCAAGTTGTTGCTTCAGGACTGGTCTGCGTTAACACCTGAACTAAGGATAGGCAATGAAGTAGTCGAACGCGTTGACAACTTCACTTATCTTGGAAGTCTGATCAGCCCTAATGAGTTGGTATCTGACGAGATCTCAGCACGGATTCGAAAAGCTCATTTGGCTTTTGCCAAATTACCTCACCTATGGCGAAGGCGAGATATCCGTCTATCAATAAAAGGACGAGTATACTGCGCGACAGTCCGTTCCGTTTTACTTTACGGCAGCGAAACATGGCAATTAAGAGTAGAAGACACTCGTAAGCTACAAGTATTTCACCACAGATGCCTTAGAAATATTGCTGGCGTCTGCTGGGATCACCGAGTAAGTAATAGTGAGGTTCGACGCAGGGTATTAGGGAATGATGGTAAATCAGTTGGTGAGGTGGTAAATCTTCATCGACCGAGATGGTTGGGCCACCTGTAACGTATGCGTGAACACCGACTACCACGACGTGCAATACTAACCGGTGTTGGGGATGGTTGGAAGAAAGTTAGGGGCGGCTAAACCAAAACGTGGCATCAGTTCTTGAAGACACTAACTTCTAGTCTGAGCCATGTTGGCAGATGCAGACTACTTGGTTGGGGTCCGCGTGACTATCGTAACCAATGGTTGGAGACTCTTGGTGATATGGCTCAGAATCGATCACAATGGCGTCGGTGTATACACTCCCTGTCTTCCCTTAAACTATGAGATTAAAACCACTTCCTATCTTTCTTTCTACTAACTAATTCTTTCTTCCTGTACTGTATCCTTATATGCAATCTTTCTCCTATATATTACCACCTTTGACCTAACCACTCCTATGAATCCGGTGTTCATCTTGCTGTGCTAATGCGGTATGGCAACCTGTACCGATGCATATATGTGTCTGGTCCTACGTTGTAGCTGACTGACTGAACAGATTGAGACACAGATGAACGCTATTTTTTGCTTATTATCCACATACACAAAAATAAGTTTCTCGTTAAATAAGTTGATTGTTTGGTAGAGATTACAATACATTCATTTCGAAAGTAGTTCTTACTTACCATTAGAAACTGATATCAACACTGCCGAAGTTCTAAATTAAGACAAAACAAGTAACTGTTTCATACTTCTTGATTTTTTAGCTCTCAATTCGATGATAATTCGTAGTAAAAATTATCCTCAAACTCAATCAGCTAGTCATAATTAATACAGAATCTAAGAGGCATGAATGCTTATTAATGCAAGTTGAGCACAATGAACAAGGAAACTAGCAAGATGAAAACACAAGGAAACTAGTATTGGACCCAACGGAAACCCAAATATCAAAAATACGATAGACAAAAAAAACAAAGGGATACAATTGAAGATTAATTAGAAGATAGAGAGCAAATGAAACTGGAGGAATTAATTATCTGCAGATGAATTTTTCAAACAAGTTCCTAAGCTATCGATCATAGAGTTTTACTCTGTCTGAAGTTGAAAATAAGTCAGTCATTTGGCTTTTAAAAGTCAATGATTCTAAAATGAACAAATACGATTAGTGCCAAAGACAGAAATCAATACGACCGACTAAATGGAGAAAGGGGGCGAAAAATATGCCACAAAAATATGACATCAACAAATCAATGAAGATTAGTCCGGTTTATAAAAAAACATACAAGTTTTTGGTTGGTAAACAAACAAAGAATAAAATCAGACCAAATTCAGATCAAGTCAAGGTGGTAAATGATTCGTAATGTGATTGGCAAGTTTGTTTATCGACCACACTTAATAGAAACTGAACTATAGTCACCATTCTTGCTCCAGACAAAACTGAAGGACTTACACAACGAAATTCTGGTAATAAACAACCTAATAAAACATTATTGATATATGACAAGCTAAAAATGAATGAACTCAATGTAGTTTTACTAGTACTCCTGACGACTTTTTTTAAAACTGAGACTAAATAATATAAGACATATTCTTATGTGGCCCTTTCAAACCAAAATGATGTTATCTATCTTAATGAACTAATAATAGGATATTATAAAAAAAATCTTGTTTACATAAAATAATACATTTTTACAAAATAACATTTAAATAATATTTATAAACTACTAGGTTGATTACCCGAAAAATATATCACTTCGATAAAGAGGTCTTGAATAATCTTCAATAGTGATAGATTCATGAGGTAGTGCAACTAGAACAGGTTTAGAATCCATTTTGCGAAATTCTAATTTTTGTGGATGATAAGTAGTTAATACACTTGCAATAGAACTATGAATAAGACCTGAATTGATTAAATTTGGATCCACAGATATTCGACGTTTATCCCGTCCCAAATTTGCAACAGTTATGGCAGAACTAAAATCTTGACCAGCTAAATTAACATGAAGTTGATTATTACCACTAGATTTAGTTAATTCTTGATCTTCTACAATAGTGGGAATACTTGGAGTTAAATTATGCGAAAGATGACGTCGTCTTGATACAGTAGTAGCAGTAGCAGGATGTAGTAATTTTTTATTTCTTAAAGGATTTATAATTCTTCTATTATAAACATCAAGGAGAAACTTATTGGCTTTATTACTAGTCTGTCCATCATAAGTTGGATTATTAACGCTTAAACATGGTGTAGAAAAAACATACGAAGTTGAATCAGTTCCTTGTGATCTACCACTGCGTATTACTGATTGATCAGTTGTGAGATTTTGCTTCATTAGAGAAAAACAAAATTACAGAAAAGTGATTAGTAACTTTTTAATGCACTTTAAAAAAATGTAATTTTAATGAAACATAACAAAATTTCTCATTTGAAAAACAATTTTATAACTTAATGTCTTTATAAGTAAAGATGGATAGTAGCTAGGAGTAGAATCTAGGACACGCGTTTCGTCCTATTTGGGATTCGTCATCTGGATATACTTGCATCTCAGAGTTGATGTCCACTCTGGGACACGAACCCAGTACTGTTTTTATTCTCAAATATTTTGAGTATATTTGAAAATGAAGATGAATATTTGTCGTAAAGTTCCATGATAATAATGAGTTGATTTTAATTTAATCATTAATGAAAATTTTAAAAAAATTATCAAATTGTTTGTCTATTAGGTTCTTTACACCTTAAAAAACGTTTTATTTTTAAAGAAAACTTTGTATTGATATGGTTATGTAAAATAGGCAATGAAATCTTTTCATAGTATTAGACAAAATGGTTTCTCATTAACTTTTCTACAAAAGAAAGAATCGTGTTATTGTAGCTGAACTAATTCATTATGAATTCCCGAAAATGTTTAGCAATGAGTAATTAAATATTGTACAAAAATTTACTTGTCATAAGAATTAAGTTGAGCGAAATGATTAGGCCCTGGTACAGCCGAGATTGGGAAGAGTCCGCCTTCCCTCTCCAAATGCTCTCACATAGCCACGCGAATATAGTCTCTGCCTGGGAAGTCCTACTCACTACCTTCTCGTGGCGGCGGTGTTTTTTACGAAATTAAGAGGACGAAAAGCGAATTTCCGGCGCTTTAACCCGGCCGGTGGACACTGAGAGTCCACCTAGGGGAGTTGGAAAAGCTGATCCCAAACCAGTGGTGCACATGGGCTCCAGTACCCTGAGGGAACAAATGGCGTATGAACCAATCGTTGGTCACCGACTACCATGGGACTGCAACTCCTTAAGATGCCCCCACTGCCTTGTGGATCAGACCTTCAGGTCGAAGGCTCGGGATGTAGCTTCCCAAGAAAACCACCTGCTTCGGCCTGGGCACCCGGGTAGTATCACAACCCTCACACATATCAAATGAGATTTGTTTGTTGCATATGTATTTGGTGCCCCCTTGTACCAATATCTATGTGTTCAAATAAATAAATTATTTCATAATCGAATTTATACGTTTCCTATAATAAAGCCCGATCACTCAATGCGTGTCCATCACCTTCATAAACGTTGAGAAAAAATGTGAAAGGAAGTTTACAAGTGATATGGACAGCGTAGTCAGAGACACCATATGATGTCACAAGGCCATCCTATAGGTGAAATGTAAACGTGGGCGGGCTATCGTGATTAACCGTATTACTCACTTAGTCACGGTTGCTGTGTACATGTTATTTCGGTCAGCCCGCTCAGAAATAATTTACAAGTTATATATAACATAGTTTCTCTTTGGAATTTTTGTAGTCACCAATATCCCTTGGCTATCCAGAAAGTTATTGAAATGGATGTAGAATTTGCTTAGAAAATCATTTACTACCATATAAGACAGATACTTTAGAGTCATACCGATGAGTTTCTTTATCAAATGTTCTTCAACTTCAAGATATTCTTTAATCATGTTAAAAACAGTTTTGGCTTTGCAATCTCATTTTTTGTGTATTATAAATTCTTCCTTTCGTAATACCACTATCCCGATGATAAAAACAATAGAAAGAAGTAGCTCTAGGTTATTTAACTCTCTCAGGGTCGTCTGAACACTTAAAACCTGATCGGTTGACCTGTAAATATGAACTACTCACTAGAAGCTTTCAGAAGGTTTTATTTTATTTTTATTTTTATTTTAACACATAGATATTGGTACAAGGGGGCACCAAATACATATGCAACAAACAAATCTCATTTGATATGTGTGAGGGTTGTGATACTACCCGGGTGCCCAGGCCGAAGCAGGTGGTTTTCTTGGGAAGCTACATCCCGAGCCTTCGACCTGAAGGTCTGATCCACAAGGCAGTGGAGTATCGTCCCATGGTAGTCGGTGACCAACGATTGGTTCATACGCCATTTGTTTCCTCAGGGTACTGGAGCCCATGTGCACAATTGGTTTTGGGATCCGGATAAAGCGCCGGACATTCGCTTTACGTCCTCTCATTTTCGTAAACAACACCGCCGCCACGAGGAGGCAGTGAGTAGGACTTCCCTGGCAGAGGCTATATACGCGTGGCCATGTGAGAGCATTTGGAGAGGGAGAGCGGACTCTCCCCACTCTCGGCCGTACCAGGGCATTCGGGGGCTTTCAGAAAGTACTTTCCATTGATAATAAATTCGTTACCGAAAATTTAGTATAGGAAACACTGAGAAACCCTAATTAAACCTGAGTTAATTTACCTTGTGATCCGATGTATTCATCCGTTTCTCATCGACAGATTCTGGTGATAATTGATTTTCCCGTATGGAAATAATACGATCATTAGAAACTGAGGGTAATTTAATAGTATTGGGTACCAGGGAAGAAGGTTGATCAGCTGATGATGATGACGGGTTAATTAACCTACTTGGGTCAACCAAACTTTTATCGACTTGTTTTGATACTGTTTGACCATGAACAGTTGTCAATTCTGATAATTTAGGATTTTCGCTCATCGCTTCTAAATGTAACAAGAAAACAATTTATCGCTATATGCAAAATGAATATAAATTGTTCTAGGTGTGTTAACAAGTTGAACATTAGTTTCAGTTACATCAACCATCGGTTAGTCCGTTTACTACAGCTAACATCTACGAGAGTTGAAAATGTGAGTGGTAGACCCATACAGATGATTCTTAAACAAAGTAGCTTTCTATTGCTCTCTCATATCCGGTGATTGATTATCTAATCGAAGTCATTTGGAAAACAAAAACTGAAAACAATAGAAAAATAATGCCAGAAGCTTCAGTGAAGTAACTCACTTACGCCAGTTACCTCTCATGAAATATAGGCCCACGACCAGCATTCTACAATCAACTGTCCTAGGCACTCGCAACCATGTCAAGTTCTTTCCACTTCCCATTCATCCCATTCATGTCTGCTTCCAATTATTTAGCCTTACTCTTTTCCGTTTCCGCTCACGGATTCAAGTTCGGGTTTGCTTCGTGATGCAGATCGGTGATTTCCTCAATGTGTGACAGATCCACTTCCATCGTTTTTCCATAATTTCCCCATCAACTGGAAGCTGGTTTGTTCACTCTCACAGTAGGCTGTTGCTCATGGTATACGGTCAACGGACATTGAGTATCTCACGCAGATAATTGTTTAGAAATACTTGTACCTCCTTCATGATGGTTGTAGTAGTTCTCCAGGTTTCGGCTCCCTACAGTGCGACTAACTGTCTTGATGTTCCTATTGAAGATTCTCACTTTCATATTGACTTGCAGATAGTTATTTCGAGTTCCATATGTTCTTCAATTGTAGGAATGCGGCTTCTCATCTCACAATACTTGCATTCACGTATACATCACATCCTCCACGTTCATCCATCATGCTAACCAGATACGTGAAAAATTCAACACCATCCACAGTTTCTCCATCAAGTATGATTGGATTGGTGTTCCCCGTGTTGTATTTGACGATCTTGCTTTTTCTCAGGTGTATGTTGACACCTAATGATACAGAGGCTACTGCTACACTGTTTGTCTTCACCTGAATTTATTCGTGTGTATGAGATAGGAGGATCAGCTCATCTGCGAAGTCAAAATCATCCAGTTGATTTCCAGCTGTTCATTTTATTCCGTGCTTCTCATCACATTTCGAGGTCTACACAATCCATTCGATCATCAGAAGAAACAGAAAGCGTGAGAGTAGGCAGTCTTGTCCGATCCTCACTCCAAATGCGTCTGTCAGCTGTCCGCCATGCACCACTTCACAGTGTAGTCTGTCTCGCGGCGTACACAACATTCTGCTTCAACCATAATGAAATATCAAATTTCAATTTTCGTTTTTAATCTCATACGTTCATAAGTCACTCTAATCAACTTCATGAACAGTCCTGAAATAAACCAAATCTAGTAGAATCAACTAATTTATCTTGGTTGTAAAACACTAAATTAACCACATTTCACAGAATTTCCACATTACAACTCAAAATTAGAATAAATAGTCGATACGTTATAAAATTTATTAACCAATGAAGAGTTTCGAATGATTTTAATTTTTTTAAAAAGTTTTTCTGCATTTCCCACATGATTAACTTTGTCTCAACTCTTTCAAGTGTTCCAATTTTCATACTCTTACAACATTCGAAGTTTCTACATTTTTATTTTCTCATCAATAATATAAGATTACAGGGATAATCAATCATTTCAAATATAACGACAATAAAACACAACTTCAAATATCTTCACAAAACCCATGTCACTTTGCCAGTAAGAACGGTATAGTCACACCATTAGTGACTAGCTTGAAGATAGATTTCCCGAAAACAGGAATAGAAATCACAACTACAAGTTTAAATGCTCAACCTTCAAAGAGAAGGTGAATTTAAAACAAAGTGTATTTGAATGGCTCTAGAGAAACTAGTTGAGTGATTTTACTACAAACACAATGGATCTGATTTGTAAAATATTATACAAATAGAAATAGTACACATAATTGATGATAGAAAACTAATTCATAAAAATCAAAACATCGAAGCAATCGAGTTCAAATAAAATATCTTATCAACGAAGCATTATTAGTTAGATGATTAGCAACTTGCTATTTAATCAAAATCTGTTCAGTTTGTCTGGTTATCCATCCGACTATTACTATTAGATGTTAACAGTAACATCAACAACAACAAAAAACGCGTGAACAATCTCAGTTAAGATACATTTGGAAACCACAGAGCATTTGACACTATTGGATGATCGTCGAACTACATCACAAATTGATTGAAGCTGGAGTTACACCATCAAACCTTGACTCGGTGGTTGTAATGGTTAAAACAGACTGAAATGTTCTAGGTTCGTGTTTTGTCCGAACGAAGAATAAATCAACGAGAACTGATAGAAATTATTATATATATACTTATCGCATAATTATTAAGTAACTAGATCAGATATTTTTATATTCCTTTCATAATAAGCTTACATTCCACCTATCAGTTACTGTTATACGGTTTACCATTCTCAAGTTATTCCCAATCTATCAGTTACAGTCTCCTATACTCACAGCCACATTCGGCTTCATCTCCCATAGTTGTTATCTTCTATTTTATGGTATGATGCGGTTTAGTCTGCTTGTATATAAACCACCTATATCTGAAATATACGTTTCACATAATCGAGACTGACATTAGTGTTCTGGACTGAACAGACTGGGTTAGGTGACAAGCTACTATACACAGGACCAAAAACGAATCACAGTTGACTGAACGCTGCTACTGCTGTTCTCATGCAGCATCATTGGTTTAGCACAGTGACAAGGTGTTAGAAGTTATTATTCTGATTAGCAATTTTGTCACATTAGATTTCACAGACCATAGGATATAACGATTCGACCTTCAGTTGGGCAGTAGAGACGCATTGATGAGTCCCCAGATGTTAGGACGAAGCACTAGTGAAGTGCTCTCGGATTCCTAATGTTGTCAGTCCCATCTTAATTCGGTCCGTTGCATATATAGCCTAGAAATCTAACTCAGTCTCTACTAAATTTATTGAACCAAATTATCAAATAAGGAAAGTGATGTTTTTAAGATGAGGAAATAGCAAAGGATAGTTCACGGATAGTTCAAAATATACGAGATTTCAGCAACAAAATTGTAGAAAAATAAGAGAGGTAATTATCTTTGTAATCCTTACTACAATCACTAAACTCAGTTATTCGACTAACAAACTTGTGAATTTGAGGGATTAAAACACTGATTAGTGGAATGTATGGGAAACATAAGACAATAATTCTAGTAGTTACGTGTTATAAAGGTGTCCTATCTCATTTGTTGTAAAAAGTCACCCATTCATCCCATATGTCCATTTGACTGGAAATGTATACTGATGATAACAATTGGAATAAAATTATCATCTCATATACACAGTAGTTCGAAGTATGTGTGCCTTAACACACTAACCTCTTGACAGATAACATAAATATTACCTTTTCTTATTTAATTGAGACGATAGACATTTCGTAAAACCATTTGCTATAAAGGATTGGGATTATGGTGAATGATTTTTGGATCTTCAAATTAATGGACAAAATCCTAACATAATCTATAGGAAGGGAACGGTAGGAATTCCCCGAGCTACGGTTATTCAGATGATTGAATTATTGACTTAAATCACAAAAGTCAAATGATGTCAAAGACAAGACCATTAGACAGAATAATTAGTTTATTTTTTTAAAAATCACATGCTTATTGTTGTGATTTTAAGTCCGGCTTTTTATCACGTGATCTATCCACCAATCAAAATACGACTTATACAGTCTTAGCACTGTGCCAAACCAATAGCGTCCAAGTGGTATGAGCAGCCTACCGTCCTTATTGGTCTTATATCCGCCTAGCCCGTCCACTTGAGTCTAGAACAGCAATACCAACTTCCAATATGTGAATCATACATTTCAAACATACTGTATTTATATATCAATCAAAAAGACAGCAACGCACCATAAAATAGGAAATAACATTTGTACACAATAAAGCCAAAAAGTGGCTGTGAACGTGGGAGGCAATAGTCAATAAACTGAGCATAGCTTAAGAACCATATATCGTACAATAATAAATTATAGATCAAAATAAAGCTTATAACAAGAGGAATATAAATATGCATGCTCTAATTATTGAATAGTTATACCATAAGAATGTATAGATAATATTAGTCAATTAATATGTCTCAGAAGTTACTCGTGATTTAATCTTCGCTCGGATATAACACTTATATACAAAATACTAAATACAAGAATAAAACATGGTTGAAAATAATGTAAAACGATTAGAAGATACGGATTTCGTGAGTTATTCAAGCCTCAATAAAATTAAGACCTGACTAGCAAACGTAATCCTCCCCTAATTTATTATCATAAAAATATATATTATACCGAAATTTCATTAAAATTAAAAAATAAAACTGGTTAGATTCGGACTTTTGTTTACAATAAAGATTTGGAAATGTGGTATCACCCTTAATTGGAAAGAATCAGTTAGTGTTTACCCATCCCCCATACTTCTCTAACTTATTTTAAGATAAACATTTCTAAACTATACAAAATCTGAGCCAAGTAAATAATCATGTTTTTACATCTAAACATAGTTTTCCTCTCATATTTTTCTCCTATTTACTACACTAAAATGAAGAATAAGGGTCATGTGAAAGTTCGTATCCGCCTACGCATTCGAATTACGAAATGAAATAATTAGCAATTCTAATTATTGAAGCCAAACCGAAGGGTATATATATATATATATATATATATATATATATATGCATATTCTTTACTGTAGGTAACATATATATTGACCGCTGTTAAGGTACAAGTCATCACTAAAACAGATTATAAATCCAGAGGTCAAGTGATAGATATTAGTAAAAAACACGTCCAATAAATACTATATTACCGGGGGCCAAAGAAAACATTTCACAATGTTACAATGACTTTCAACATAAACAATAATTTTAACTGACATACACTAAAAAGGCACATGGATAAATACATTTCAATTGAATAATCAAGCCAAAATCTATAACTATAGTGTCGATTATGCGTCGGTTCACACTTATTATATAACCTGAACTAATAAAATAAACATTTACCCATATAACCATTTAATAAATGATATCTCCATACAACTATTACTAATATCACGTAAATATATTTTGCTTAAATGATCGAAAATTCAACGAATTACTTTAATGTTCAGAGTTATATTTTTAGTCTAAACACTGTCAAGGTTGAGTTAACAATGAAATACTCTACATATCAAAATCTGTAAAGGTTGTTTGCTTTAATTCATGATAACCGGTAATCATGTTTATTAAATTTAGATTTCTATGTACAACAAAAAATCCCCATGAATACAAAATTAATTAACAGTAATTACCTTTCTTTTCATCTCTACACTTCTGTACATCCTCTTCACATAGATTCCTGAAGTATGAAAACGAAATAAAAGAATAATTGTGGCAATCAAAATAAACCAGTGGGATAAGATCTTAATTTATAACTGTAAAAACGGAATCGAAACTCTTTGAAATGTAATGTTTATAAATCTATTTTTTTTAAAAATACTTATTTTTAAATGATGCCAAATCATTGAGTAAGGTAATTGGAAGAAATTAGGAGGAAACCTTGAACTTAAGTTTAGTTTTATAATTAGCGCTCAACAATAATTCAACCGATGTAAATAATGCAAATTGATTAACAAGATTCGATTGGTACTAAAATCTAGACAAAGATGACATTGGTCACTACTCTATGATTAATTAATGTAAAATACAGTATTGTCATTATGACCAGTATTTGATGAAGAAAATGTTTATGCGGTACAAATGAATGGAATAGTTACAGTATGAATAATTGGCAAAATAGAAAATTGTTGTCTCTATAACACCATATTGTATGAATCCTGAAGTATGAACAAACAAAAGGTTAGTAATACAACTTGAGACCTCACTTTAATTCAGTCTGGGTACCTAAATCAAATGATATTGTTCACATAATTACACAGAAGACCTTGAAATTGTGGAGAATTCTAAAAACAAACTCCAAACTTCGTAACGATTTACTGCTTTACCCATTCAGACTAAAAATGAATCTAAGCCTACCACCTAGCATCAATTTGTAAATGTATCCCGTATCATGCATCATCTCTTTGGATATCTCGATAGAGAATATTCATAACACTTAAAAAAGTAATAACTCTCCATATCAATTACAAATATAAAAAAATTATTAGTATTTATTAACAAATTTCAAAGAATAATATATTTATAAGCAGTTGGATAGTGACTAGAAGTGAAATCTAGGACGCGCGTTTTTTCCAATTTGTAACTCGTCAGCTAGATGTACTTATATCCTAGAGTCTATATTCACCCCGGGACTCTAGCGCAGTGCTTTCCGCTTCAAATGGCTAATACGTTATATATTGAATTAATGAGTCCAGATAGCCACTACTTTGTTTGAGACAGACAAATCACTCACATTGATGCCTATACATTATAGAATTTGAAAGTATAGCATTCGATGATGTATTTTTTTCAAGATGCTCCATTTGACAGGATTATAAGGAAATAAACTGAATGAATTAAAAATCAGTAAATCATCCGACGATGAAATAATGAAGTAAATGATTAACATTAATTGCACATTTGTATTACCTCATGGAGGCTAACCTTTAAAATTTATATTACAAAGTATACCATAGATCACTTAAACAATGAATACACTGATTAGTAAGATTATTAATCGGTGTTACACGTCCATAATAATAATAATACTAATACTAATAATAATAATAATAATAATAATAATAATAATAATAATAATAATAATAATAATAATAATAATAATAATAATAATAATAATAATAATAATAATAATACTAATACTAATACTACTACTACTACTACTACTACTACTACTACTACTACTACTACTACTAATAATAATAATAATAATAATAATAATAATAATAATAATAATAATAATAATAGTGTACATATGCTAAAAGAGAGTGATCAACTGGCATCCTGAACATCGACGAGAAGATTCAAACAACCAATACAAGTGAAATAATATATATGTATTTAGTTACTGCCAATTCCCGTAGACTTTGTAATGCTCTCAAGTTTCTCTTGGATTCCGATTGTAATGAATATTTCATTAAGTTGAATGACTATGATGTTTCTGCATGTCATGAAGTAGTCGCACACGTTGACAAATTCACTTAACTTGGAAGTCTGATCAGCAGTAATGGGTTGGTGTCTGACGAAATCTCAGCACGGATTCGAAAAGCTCGTTTGGCTTTTGCCAAATTACCTCACCTATGGCGAAGGCGAGATATCCGTCTATCAATAAAAGGACGAGTATACTGCGCGGCAGTCTGTTCTGTTTTAATTTACGGCAGCGAAACATGGCAATTAAGAGTAGAAGACACCCGTAAGCTACTAGTATTTGACCACAGATGCCTTAGAAATATTGCTGGCGTCTGCTGGGATCACCGGGTAAGTAATAGTGAGGTTCGACGCAGGGTATTAGGGAATGATGGAAAATCAGTTGATGAGTTTGTTAATCTTCATCGACCGAGATGGTTGGGCCACGTGTTACGTATGCCCGAACATTATAAGTAACGAAAATTCTCAAAGAATACACTTACAATTTATGTAATTTCTTCTCATGCATAGAGTGTTTCTTTTTTAAATTTTCACCAACTTCAATATTCAAACTGTTTTTTCGTTGTTGTTGCTGTAGTAATTGTTCATTTTCTTCATTTCCTTCATCTAATTTATATAAAGTTTGACCAATACGATTTGATGAATTGATAAATTGATTTGATTTAATAAATGTATTCGATGCTATCATTAAATTACTTTGAATTACATCAACTAAATTAACAATAGATTCATTAGTCTCTTTAGATAAATCTAACATTTCGAATTTATGCATCGGTTTCAATGGACGATAAAGACATGATAAAATAATACCATGAAGTATAAATGCAGAGAAGAATACTAATGTACATGACCATCCATATAACTAATTTGAAAGTAAAAAAACATAAATGAGGAACACAATGGACACTTTGGTTATTACATTTATTAAAACAATAGTTCATTTAAAAGAAAATTTTGGTAAAATTAAATATTATTTAAGACTTTAATATTACTGTGATGAAGTTAATCTAGAAAAAATGTGACCTATGTTTTTGATGACACATGTTTGTATTAGGGTAAACATTTCAATGGTTGTCTAACTTAGATCGGTTAATGATTTCAATGAAATTCAGCAATCTCTACAACTCTATACTAACAATTAAAATAACAACTATTAAGATTACGTAATCAGTAGTGAGTATATAATCAGATAACAAAGAGTGTATACAAAAGTCAGTCAGCTACAACGTAGGACCAGGCACATATATGCGTCGGTTCAAGTTGTCATACTACATTATCGCAGCACGATGGACACCGGATTCATACAAGTAGTTAAGACAATGGTAGTAATATATAAAAGAAAGAATGTGTATAAGGATATAATACAGGGAGAAGGAATTAGTTCGTAGAAAGAAAGATATAAAGTAATTTTAATCTCACGGTTTAAGGGAAGACACTTTACGTCATTGTGGTCGATTCTGAGCCACGTCACTAAGAGTCTCCAACCATTGGTTACGAGTCACGCGGACCCCAACCAAGTAGTCTGCATCTACCAACAAGGCTCAGACAAAAAGTTAGTGACTTCAAGCACTGATGTCACGTTTTGGTTTGGCCGCCCCTAACTTTCTTCCAACCATCCCCAACACTGGTTAGCATTGCACTTTGTGGTAATCGGTTTTCAGGCACACACAACACGAAAAGGGATGAAGAAAAATAAAGGATATAAAAAAATTACTAAAATGTTTTATTATATCTTATCTAGTCAAAAATGTTATATGTGAAAACTAGTGAAGGTCAGTGGAAATTCATGACTGAGCAATTTTAACTATCAATGTATGTTGTAATTTACTAAGGTAGTTTAGTCGGAATTTTGACAAGTTTGGAAGCACTGTATTTCCAAATTAACTATAGTTGACAACATGGAACATTGAATATATTACCTGAGTGAATAAATAGCTTCGTGCAAGTACCACAGTTGTCTCAAGCACTGAGTTCGAATTTATGGATTGCTGAGAAGCAACAAACTAAAACGGAACAGCTATTCACAACAAAAAGTTTTTAAGATGTATACTATATTAGGCACATAAACAAAGCACAATTTATAAAAATTCAGAATTAGAAATTTATAACAAATGGACAAAAATCTCAAAAACTCATAAAACTCTAATGAAGATAAATTGTAAAATATTTTGATCAGTAGAACATCATACTCAAATATAATACTATACAAGAAGAATAAATTTGTTACTTCTTATAAATTAATTGATTATAAATTTCACTGAATGAAATCATGAGTCAATTGACGCTAGGCCACCATGGAAAACCTAGAAGCACTGGACGGCCGTTCCGTTCTATTGTGCGACTCCTCAGCAGTGCGCATCCACGATCCCGCACCCCGCGAGATTCGAACTCAGGACCTAACAGTTTCGCACAAGGCGCCTAACCAACTAGACCACTGAGCCGACATCCAACGGTGTTCATGTCTAACTTCAACGAATCCACAAAGTTGCGCCATCGTACACCATTGTCTTCAGTGAGTTGATATCTCACAACAGACCTGGTCGAATCGCGCGGGGTGCGGGATCTTGGATGCGCACTGCTGAGGAGTCCCATACTAGGATGAAACGACCGTCCACTGCTTCCAGGTTTTCCATGATGGTCTAGCTTCAATTGACTCATGAATTCAATTATTAAATTGCTACAATCTTCACAAAACCCTCTCCGATCATAAATGTTAAATATTGCAAGTTTTAAGGTAAAATCATCATGAAAAATTTATCAATGATGAATTACAAGCAAACTAGATAGATCTATAAATTGATGTAACATGAAAGTAAATTAACTAAATTTATCACTTTTTCGTTTAATATCAAATGATTTACGATACAGAAGTTGGTTTTATTCGAATTTTATGCATTCCTTATGATCGTATTCATTCGTAAATTCACTAATCTGCTACGGGAATGGTGTTTGAATTCATTGAAAACTTTTAAATGTGATAGATATATATGTTGAGCTTCCATTTTCTTGATAGTAAAATTCAACAAAGAACGAATTGTGGAACAATGTTGGAAAAGCAATTCTTTTCATCTAAAAATACAACTAATGAGTGATAAATTCAAAAAAATTTACTATTCATTTAATAGTTGAGATCATGAGTCAAGTCAAGCCAGACCATCATGGAAAACCTGAAAGCACTGGACGGCTGTTTCATCCTAGTATGGGGCTCCTCAGTAGTGCGTACCCACGATCCCACCCCGGGGGATTCGAACCCAGTATCTATCGGTCTCGCGCGCGAGCACTTAAACTCTACACCTCTGAGCCGGCATCCAATGGTGCTAATGTTCAACTTCAATAAATCCACGAAATTCGGGAATATATAATACAAATAAGCATTCAGACACACACAGAAAGCACAGTCTACATTTAAAGTTTGAAAAGAATAAAAGTAATCAGATTACTTTTTCGTACATATGGATGACAAGTATATGAAGGATGAATTCGTAAAACAAATTCTGGAACTTCTAAAAGCATATTGTAATGAATATATTTTTTGCATTAAGAAATGAAACAACTTAGGATTGTACACATTCTCAGTGGTACTATCTAAAAATGCAAGGAACTTAAAAACCATAATGGAAAAGAGTAAGATACAATAATACAAGTAGAAATGTCTTAGTATTTGCAAATTTTAGTTACAATATTGTTAAATGTTCCAATCCAATCACAGATTGTTCAACAATAGCTGGTAAAATTATAGGCTAAAAACGTTTATAATAAAAACCCTTTTACATGTAAGATATGTATGGATATGTATGAAAAAAAAAATAGTTTAAGGTAAATAGTACAAGTGTATGTTATTGTAAGATGCTACATTTCATATAAATGTAGTGATGGGAAGTTCACTTGGAGAAAAACAACTGATTGACATTGATAACAGTGAAGGATTACCATAAAGATAAAAGTCAAATGAAAAACTGTCAATGACTTCACATTTCTGCTAACCACGTTTTATACACAACACGGTATAGTGAGTCGAAGATTTATTAAGCTCAGATCTAAAAACGACTGTTCCAATAGTGTTCAGTAGATTAATCGATTTCTTTGGAACTACAATATCTATCAACAGAGACAAATTAAACCTTCAAGACAAGTAATATGACTACAGTTGAAAGTTGGTAAGTATCCGTGTCTCAAAATGAGACGGAAGGTGAATATTTTGTAGACATATCCTCAGCTGGATCTGGGACCTTCATGAAATATTTCCGGTTTGTTCTCGATCTGTGTGCCAAGATTTGAATAACTATGAAACCTAAGACCTTGGCGATGGTTTAAAATATCCCTCTCTCTCTCTCTATGGTATTCTACGACAATACATTAGTACAACAATGAGACTAGCTACGTTATATCAGATCCACGATTCACGACCCAAAATAGAGAACCAGATTAACACTAGATAATACTTCATTCAACACAGTTACAAAGAGTCACTCAGTGAGTCCGGAGTAGAAATCAATGAGAAAAAAGAAACCACATTTTTAACAGTCAGTAGGCTAGGCATGTCTGTCCACGTTCAACGATTATTCATCTTTTACTTTCACTACCATATATTACTTAGAAATGACAAAATTCAACCTCATTCATTGATAATTATTACGAAAGGATATTTGTCTTATTTTATAAACTGGGACGATAAGTGATCAAGATCATTCAGATGAAACTACGTTCCTGAGTTAGATGAATTAGTAGTCTCGGTCCATCGTTGTTAAGGTTTTCCAAAGTTAAGCCATCAGGGTTTGCCAATGTCCCTTGAGTAAATTGGATTACAGTTGACCTAGCTTTGTCTAATTTGAAAATCCATTGTCTAATTTTCATTCATGCTGTTAGATGGTGAGCAACTAGAAAATAGCCAGAGACTAGTCGAGTTGTTCCTTGTAGAATTCGGTCGACTGTTGCAATTTCTAGGTCTCAGAATGAACCATTATCTCGTATTTTTCAGAAATAGTTTCTCTGATTACTAACTATAACATATTCTTGATAGGTCTGAACAACAGGTAGCATCGCTAATCTTTCCATTTGATTTTTCACTGGCCAATATTTCTCATTATCATCTTACGAGAATTCTAATAACTAACGTTAAAATTTTTGGTGCATTATAGTATTCGAAGTCTGTCAATACGACTTTTTAAACATTTATCATCAATATAATAGAGGTTGAAATTAAATGCCTTTTCTTGAACCTTTGGCTCAGATTAATAAAAGACCACACTTATTAATAATCCAGACTACAGTTCATTCAAGACTACTAAAAGATGAGGATCCTCTTCATTGTCGATTGCCTAGCTATCCATTTGTAAAAAAAATCCTTAGAAATTTATTTTTTGAATTGCACTAAATGAAGTCTTGCAGCTGTAATGCTTTTAGTTCAATTAATTTAAGGTATCCATATATTTGCCGTGTGTACACCTTCGGCTACCAGTTTTGCAGCAGTGTATTTATGGTTTAATTTAGAGTCCACTGGAAATAAGTGATTGTAAATGAACAGGTTAGTTAAAAGGTCATGATTACATATCCTCTAGATTAGAATACTGAAAGTCCCACCTAAATGTATTTCTATTATGACTAGTTTACTTAACTGAGCATTAGAAATCTTGTGCACGACAGCTTAAACTGTTAAATTCTGTAGATATGGTCTCTTCACTTTTTTAAACTGAAGTCAATGAGAGCGTAGATGAATGCCACAAACAAATAACGGCGTATAACCTGATACTTTTCAACAAGTCAAAGTAGCGGATACAACAAAAAAAACTTTCAGGTGATTACCTACAAAGGAATTGTTAGCTTTAACGTTCCAGAAAGTGAATTTCCCAAAATATCAAACTTAAACTCCTATAACATGATATTTTGATAATAAGTTCATATCACTTTAGGTTCATCTTTTTTAAGCACGTTAGCATTCCAAGTAAGAGCTTTAAAGAAGACAGAAAACTACTTGACCAAAGACAATAATAATTTATATCAATGAAAATTATACAATGCAATAACTAAGTCAAATGAAATGGAAATTATGATTTTCATAATGATAGAATGTAGAATAATAGTTGACAGTAAAAACAAACAGTTTAAAAACTATTAAAAAATTATTCTTTTTAAAGTGACCACTGTTTAATGATAGCTTTGTGACTAACTGGTCAATATAAATGATACTCATGTACTTTCAACAAACAATTTACAAGCTGAGCAGCTTCATCGTTGCGTAGTTAGGACGATATTGTGTTCGGTTAACAAATTATTCTTGGAAAACCATATATTTGTACTGACCCAGACAGCAGATATTTAAAAATGACCTTGACAAGACAATTCAGTTAATCACTAGGGCTCGCCCACATATGCACTGGTTCGCTATACGACCTTGGTAGATCGTGTGACCTGCCCGTCCCGCTAAATACATCTGACCTCATCAACAAGCAAACAAAATAACAGCATCTGATCTATCCAACCCATTAGAGCGCCTGTGAAAATGATATATCAAGGTCAAGTGACTGGTCATCGTATTTGCCACGAGAATAGATAGTTTAATGAAATAAACTATTATCAATAAACTATGCCTAAGTGTTAAGTGATTCATGTGAAGGCTCACCTGAATTAAGTAACCTGCTAGAGGTCCAAATATCACAGCCCCAAAAGGTGTTCCAGCCACAGCTATACCACTAGCCAATTCACGTTTTCTGTTGAAATAGAAACTAACCGCAATTAGTGCTGGTAAATAAATTAATCCAAATGAAGAGCCTTTATTGAAGAAAAAAATTAGAACATCATTTTAAGAAAGTGATCTTTCACTATAGGAAAAGAATTTTTTTAAAAAGTAATGAGTTAGTTGATCAAACCGATACGTGTTTGGTTTCTTCTAATTATACATTTTATAAGTCTTCCGACATTTACCAAAGAAAATAAATATAAGATGACTGAAACGAACAATTAAACCTACTGGTATCCAACATTAGAAAAGTTTCTATTTGCTCTAGGTTAAGTACGTAGATAAATAGACAAAATAATTTAAAATTCTGTGTAGTGTATCTAGTTTAAATCATTTAACAAGGACAATACTAAGTGAAGATATTCATTCATGAACATAAGATACCGGGGAGAATAATCGTATTTATCATTCAGTGAAATCTGTTCGTAAATATCTCAATACACTCTGTCATATTATAACCGGGTTTTTTTCAATTTTAGTCGCTATGATAGCATAGCTAGGATAAATCTCTTAGTAGAGGAATATATAAATTTGTTCTAATATTATACAGTTCAAAAACTAGTCTACTTTGGTACACACATTTTACTAAGTAATGGCCTTATAATTCTCAGGTAATGTGGAATATGTTATATCTTGTGACCGCCAATTAGGGAGCAGTGAATTATCGATCGGAACAATGACGCGTAAACCCGCATGAGCAGCCTAGAGTTCTGATTGGTCTCGCTTCCTGTCTAGCCCAGCCAGTTAAGTCCAGAAAGCCAATCCTAGCCTCTGCGATATGAATCATTATATTTCAAACATACTGAGTTTATATACCAATCAAACAGACCACAACGTACGAATAAAGTATGAAACAACATTTGTATAATAATTAGCCAGACGTGGCTGTGAATGAGGGAGGTAGTAATTAATATACTGGGTATAACTCAAGAATGGTAAAACGTATAATAATAGTTTACGGGTCAAAATAAAGCTTATAATAACAGGAATATGAATATGCATAGTTTAGTTACTTAATAATTATACAATAGGAATATACGTTTAGTATTGGTCCGTAAATGGATCCTAGAAGTTACCATTCATTATTCTTGTCTGGACATAACAAAATACAGTCTAGTTGTATTGTTCAATCATCATTCTAAGTTGATATTTTACGTAAAATTTTCAATTAATTGCAGATTCTTAGGTAAACCAGAATGGACGCTACAAGCCTGTCAGATAAATCTACAGACTACAAATAATCGATCTTCGGGAATATGTTCTTAACGTTTTTCGATGTTCACCAGCCACTAGCAGAAACAGTTACGTTTTATAATATTCACACCAATGTGTAGGATACAAAGTTTATGTATAAAGTTATCAGATGATCTCACAATCGGTCAGCTGTATACAATGTGACATTTATCAAAAAAGTGGATCAACCCCAATTTGGCAAACCATTATCAATATTGAGAAGGAAAACCAACGAGATGAAAAGTAGAGAAAATAAATATATACCTTAGTGAAAACAAAACATAGAAAATAGTTCTAGGATAGCAAACATAATCAAAGATTGAAAAGTAAAGCATAACATCTGAACTTATGGTTTAAGGAATCAAAACAAATAAACTTGAAGCAATCAGACCGATTTCCAGCCAAGTTATATAAGGTCTTCAACTAAAAATTATGATTATCTCGGTAATAGCAACCATAAAGTCAAAAACCATTCAAACTTGTTTAGTTCAGCATTCAATAACACCTAAAATTGATGTTATCTCTTGGTCTGAAGATAACTGTTATTCTTTAAACCCGCTTCTGGCTTGTTCAGCATTAGCATATATTTAGAGAGTTCAGTAAGTTCATCGACGCGATATGATTAATAGTTTCTATTGACTTCAAATTCGTTCATTCATAGCATAAAGTATACATGCACTAAAAGTATTTTCACAAATGATCGAAATTATTTCTTACTATAATGAGTAATTCGTCTTACTTGTGTTATTCAAAAACAAAATTCATAAATTTTCTTACACTTTGTGCACAGACTGAAACATTTATACAACAAATGTACAGTATTATGAAATCGCAAACAATCTTGATGAGGCTGTCATTCAGCGGCGAAAACAAATCCAGGCATCTCACCTCTGGTTTAGGTGACAAACCGGTATCATTAGACCTCATCAAGTGAACAGTTGTTTAGCACCATCAAAGCTGGATAGATCAACCTGTATTTATTGAATAAGTTAAATTATTATTCATGATTACAAGATCTTTCTCACCAAAAATAATCAAGCAATAATAGACTTTTCAGTAATAAGACTAACCAACTAATATTCCAAAAGTAATGATTAAAGCATCTACGGTAGGCATTAAAGAGCTAATGAAAATCGATACAGATGCCAGAGCGCATCCAAAAAGAGCGACTGTTCGACAACCAAATTTGTTTGTTAGTGCTGCAGCAAAAGGACCTATAAGAAAATAATAACTGACTATTAAAAGTAATCCAGTTATAGCGTTTTTCAGTGCTAATTTATTAGAAGATTTATGACACAAATGATGACAATTTCTTGTTTCATGATGTAACGACTGATTGATATAGTAAGTGTAATAACTGCGATGGCCCAATAAACTAGTTGCTTATAAGCCCAATCTTCATATCCCAACCAAATAAACTTCAGAAAGTAGACCCACTACCTTCCACCTTATTTAACTGGGGATATTATTATTCAATCAATGAAGTAAGATTACTAGTTACTTATATGATAAATTTGTTACGGTTGAGTACATAAGTCACGAAATAGTTAATGATCATTCACTTCTACGTGCCGTAACGCCTTTTTAATAAATTGTAGAATATATTTGAGAAACGAAAGTTGCAAAAGTATTAATATCTCTGGAATCCCCTTCATTTTTCTTGTACTTATTTCTTTTATATTTGTAGGGTAAATTGAGATGGATAAAATAAAATCTGTAATCGGAGATTTCATCCGTTTTAAATAATCATATGGTTGTTGGACAGTGTAACGAGTTGTGGTGCGAAAAAATTGTGTTTTTGATGAGTAACAAATGATAATTCAGTTGGTTATCATGTACTGATTTCTTGTGAAATTACTACGAGATTCTGATGAAAAGTTTGTTTCATAACCTCAAATGTAACGATTGAAATGAAAGACTATCCTAAGCTGTATAATTTAAACAGACTTGATAAATGAGAAAATGTGCATTAACCTTAAAGTTTTGGCTTGAAATGCTCAGATTTCTTTGAATCTCCAATCAGTTCGATGAAACTACTGAGGTGGTTGAAGAAATGCTTCACCTACAGAACTGATATCCAAACTAAGTTTAGAATACAGGACTAGCCAACTGGTAAAACATGTATTCCCAGGAGATTAAGGCTTATTTATAAACAAATAAAGGTAATCCAAACGAAATTTACACATAGGATTTTAAAAAAATAGTTATTGGAAGATGAGAGAGTGGAATCAATTGATTCTGCACCTCAGTTCATCATATGAACCAACAAGCAAAGTACTGGATATAACTGCAATCATTTGTCGACTAGATTTTGTCGATATAACATGGTTTGTGCTAAACTCTTAACAATACAATAAAACAATTGATAGAAATTGTTAAAATTAAAAAAAACTTTTACTTACCAATCATTTGATAACACCCCAACATCAATGAACTAACTAATGAGACCTTGGTTTTTGAAGCTTCGAAATGATCAGCCCATTCAACCATTAAAAGACCAACAGAAAAGAAGATCCCATCAATCAGAAAGAAATTAAGGAATGTGGCCAGTAAGACAATCCATGACCAACCACCATCGGGAGCAACTGGTACAAAATATTCAGGATGTGTTTCAGGGCTAAAAATCTCAATTTCTTCATTTCGCAACTGTTGACTTAATTTGTCATTATCTTCAGGTAGCATATCACATGTGTTATTTATTGCACTCTGATTTTTACAATTCAGAGAAATTGATTTGTCTGGTAAAATCACACGACATTCTCCCACTGATGGTTTATCTTCAAAATCCTGAGGCATAATTATTTCATATGGTATCTTATGGAGTTTTGGGCACAAATTATTTGAAAATCCCCAGTTATTTTAGCTTCATTTAACAAAAGAAAAAGGTTAGTCAGTCGAAACTACTGAGTTGTCTTGAAGCTACTGATAAGTTGTCAAGTTTCAGAACAAATCCTACATATCAAAATATGGTAAGATTGGATAAACCAATAGTTTTTAAATCATCATATCTTCAATCAGCCGTTGAGTGAATTGCATTGTTTACCACAATTTACTAGCAGAAATGAATAATCCTATTTATTTTGACAGACATGAAAACTTCATTAACATGTCACTTTTGAGTCTCAGTAAATTTTTAATCCACAAATAGTTATTTAAATCAACCACCGTTCTCAGTTTTATTACGATACATTAACTGTTTTGAAAATGCTCGATAATGAATTGAAGGAAAAGTTGTTTGAATCAATGATGAAATAAGCTAGTCATTTGTCAAGCCAGAACAAAATATAGAATCCCATAAATCTTGTACTAAAACACACTAACATATAACTCAGGTATAAAGTTGCTATAGGACAAGAAGTGAAGACCAGTCACATGCGTCCAAATGTGAATAACTAAAGTCCTCATTCCTTTGTGTTTATTGGCTGGAATTTTGGCCAATAGTATTTTCCATTTTGAAATCAATAAATAATTGTCAATCCAAACGGATTAGGGAATGAAATATATGGGTTATGATTGGCTAAAGTCATAAATGTTGTGCATAAACTTCCGATTAAAAACTGAGACTTATGTTTTGCCATAAACTTAATCTACCCTAACACCCACAAGAGTGACAAAATACCTCGGATCTAATTTTAAGTGCAAATTCATGGTATAAAATGACCAAATATTGTGAGGGATGGTACGATAAAAGTTTACGCGAATTTTATCAATGACCACTGATTTTGGAGAATCATGTGATGTTATCAGAAGACGAGACAAATTTGTTTGCTTGCTTACTTGATATGTTTCAACAGACTTATAAACAGTTAAATGGATGTGGACAAAATATTTAAATTCAACCAACTGATTAGGTAACCAAATCATCTGCTTCTTAGGCATAAACACTGTATTTGTGATGGTAACCACGGTAGCGAATAAAAAAACTGTATACTTAACTCGGAAGTAAATTTAGACTATCATATATTACACGAATTTATCATTTTCTAATCAGCTTAACCGAGTAGACATAAATTTTAGTGGCATACATAGGGAATTATTAGCCTGTTTTTCCTATCACATGTCTGAAGTCTAGTATATATATTTACGCTACATATGTTAAATCATTAAAAAAGAGCACGTGTTTCATCGTATTTTACCAGTGTTATTTTTTATTATTTCAATTATATATATTACGTACAACTGTAATTGAAATATCGAGCTATCACAAGCTGTACATTGTTAGCGATAAACTAACTGTCTCTATGACGCATGGGTGCGTTTTACAGAAATAAAACAGAGGAAAAAATTCCGGCTCGTTGACATTGCATTGTCAACCTGGATACATTGGAAAATTTGGTTGCAGACCAGTGATACACATCGGATCCAGGTTATTGAGGGGACAAATGATATATATGTTAGGATTTTGTCCATTAATTTGAAGATCCAAAAATCATTCACCATAATCCCAATCCTTTATAGCAAATGGTTTTACGAAATGTCTATCGTCTCAATTAAATAAGAAAAGGTAATATTTATGTTATCTGTCAAGAGGTTAGTGTGTTAAGGCACACATACTTCGAACTACTGTGTATATGAGATGATAATTTTATTCCAATTGTTATCATCAGTATACATTTCCAGTCAAATGGACATATGGGATGAATGGGTGACTTTTTACAACAAATGAGATAGGACACCTTTATAACACGTAACTACTAGAATTATTGTCTTATGTTTCCCATACATTCCACTAATCAGTGTTTTAATCCCTCAAATTCACAAGTTTGTTAGTCGAATAACTGAGTTTAGTGATTGTAGTAAGGATTACAAAGATAATTACCTCTCTTATTTTTCTACAATTTTGTTGCTGAAATCTCGTATATTTTGAACTATCCGTGAACTATCCTTTGCTATTTCCTCATCTTAAAAACATCACTTTCCTTATTTGATAATTTGGTTCAATAAATTTAGTAGAGACTGAGTTAGATTTCTAGGCTATATATGCAACGGACCGAATTAAGATGGGACTGACAACATTAGGAATCCGAGAGCACTTCACTAGTGCTTCGTCCTAACATCTGGGGACTCATCAATGCGTCTCTACTGCCCAACTGAAGGTCGAATCGTTATATCCTATGGTCTGTGAAATCTAATGTGACAAAATTGCTAATCAGAATAATAACTTCTAACACCTTGTCACTGTGCTAAACCAATGATGCTGCATGAGAACAGCAGTAGCAGCGTTCAGTCAACTGTGATTCGTTTTTGGTCCTGTGTATAGTAGCTTGTCACCTAACCCAGTCTGTTCAGTCCAGAACACTAATGTCAGTCTCGATTATGTGAAACGTATATTTCAGATATAGGTGGTTTATATACAAGCAGACTAAACCGCATCATACCATAAAATAGAAGATAACAACTATGGGAGATGAAGCCGAATGTGGCTGTGAGTATAGGAGACTGTAACTGATAGATTGGGAATAACTTGAGAATGGTAAACCGTATAACAGTAACTGATAGGTGGAATGTAAGCTTATTATGAAAGGAATATAAAAATATCTGATCTAGTTACTTAATAATTATGCGATAAGTATATATATAATAATTTCTATCAGTTCTCGTTGATTTATTCTTCGTTCGGACAAAACACGAACCTAGAACATTTCAGTCTGTTTTAACCATTACAACCACCGAGTCAAGGTTTGATGGTGTAACTCCAGCTTCAATCAATTTGTGATGTAGTTCGACGATCATCCAATAGTGTCAAATGCTCTGTGGTTTCCAAATGTATCTTAACTGAGATTGTTCACGCGTTTTTTGTTGTTGTTGATGTTACTGTCAACATCTAATAGTAATAGTCGGATGGATAACCAGACAAACTGAACAGATTTTGATTAAATAGCAAGTTGCTAATCATCTAACTAATAATGCTTCGTTGATAAGATATTTTATTTGAACTCGATTGCTTCGATGTTTTGATTTTTATGAATTAGTTTTCTATCATCAATTATGTGTACTATTTCTATTTGTATAATATTTTACAAATCAGATCCATTGTGTTTGTAGTAAAATCACTCAACTAGTTTCTCTAGAGCCATTCAAATACACTTTGTTTTAAATTCACCTTCTCTTTGAAGGTTGAGCATTTAAACTTGTAGTTGTGATTTCTATTCCTGTTTTCGGGAAATCTATCTTCAAGCTAGTCACTAATGGTGTGACTATACCGTTCTTACTGGCAAAGTGACATGGGTTTTGTGAAGATATTTGAAGTTGTGTTTTATTGTCGTTATATTTGAAATGATTGATTATCCCTGTAATCTTATATTATTGATGAGAAAATAAAAATGTAGAAACTTCGAATGTTGTAAGAGTATGAAAATTGGAACACTTGAAAGAGTTGAGACAAAGTTAATCATGTGGGAAATGCAGAAAAACTTTAAAAAAAATTAAAATCATTCGAAACTCTTCATTGGTTAACAAATTTTATAACGTATCGACTATTTATTCTAATTTTGAGTTGTAATGTGGAAATTCTGTGAAATGTGGTTAATTTAGTGTTTTACAACCAAGATAAATTAGTTGATTCTATTAGATTTGGTTTATTTCAGGACTGTTCATGAAGTTGATTAGAGTGACTTATGAACGTATGAGATTAAAAACGAAAATTGAAATTTGATATTTCATTATGGTTGAAGCAGAATGTTGTGTACGCCGCGAGACAGACTACACTGTGAAGTGGTGCATGGCGGACAGCTGACAGACGCATTTGGAGTGAGGATCGGACAAGACTGCCTACTCTCACGCTTTCTGTTTCTTCTGATGATCGAATGGATTGTGTAGACCTCGAAATGTGATGAGAAGCACGGAATAAAATGAACAGCTGGAAATCAACTGGATGATTTTGACTTCGCAGATGAGCTGATCCTCCTATCTCATACACACGAATAAATTCAGGTGAAGACAAACAGTGTAGCAGTAGCCTCTGCATCATTAGGTGTCAACATACACCTGAGAAAAAGCAAGATCGTCAAATACAACACGGGGAACACCAATCCAATCATACTTGATGGAGAAACTGTGGATGGTGTTGAATTTTTCACGTATCTGGTTAGCATGATGGATGAACGTGGAGGATGTGATGTATACGTGAATGCAAGTATTGTGAGATGAGAAGCCGCATTCCTACAATTGAAGAACATATGGAACTCGAAATAACTATCTGCAAGTCAATATGAAAGTGAGAATCTTCAATAGGAACATCAAGACAGTTAGTCGCACTGTAGGGAGCCGAAACCTGGAGAACTACTACAACCATCATGAAGGAGGTACAAGTATTTCTAAACAATTATCTGCGTAAGATACTCAATGTCCGTTGACCGTATACCATGAGCAACAGCCTACTGTGAGAGTGAACAAACCAGCTTCCAGTTGATGGGGAAATTATGGAAAAACGATGGAAGTGGATCTGTCACACATTGAGGAAATCACCGATCTGCATCACGAAGCAAACCCGAACTTGAATCCGTGAGCGGAAACGGAAAAGAGTAAGGCTAAATAATTGGAAGCAGTCTTGAATGGGGTGAATGTCAAGTGGAAAGAACTTGGCAGGTTTGCGTATGACATAGTTGAATAAAGGATGTTGATGGGCGTCCCATGCTCCTCCATGAGGGGTAACGTGCTCAAGTACGTAAGTAATATATTTATTACTATTGAGGTGTATGCTACTTGGACTCACAGATGTAGGTGGTGCACAGCAGAACTCGGAAATGGAATGCTTGCCAGCATAAGCTGAAGTGAAGAGGGTGGCTTGGAAAGCCGAGTAAATGGAATAAGAACAGAACTGAAAGAATTACGGAGTATGTAATAGACAACTGAAAGAAGATGTGCGTGTTATGTATCTCATTTATGATTTTCATATTTTAGGAAGCCACTGTATTGCATGATGGGGTTTCTTAGTAACACTTTAGGGTCTTGAGTGGTATACGAATGTTATTTAACCACTCGTAGTTCATGGTATCGTAATTTCGTATTAAAACCTAGATTGGCGTTTTTGATTCGCCATAGGTAATATGCTTATAGTGAGATGCAGTTTCCGACTGGTATTAAGAATATTCATCATTTACATCTGATATCCACCTCTATTCTATCGACTGATCACAACTTGAATGACATTTGTGTTTGGCACCAGTTTAGTGATTTTCGACCTGATTATTTGATTTGGTGAGCTAAAATCATGGAATATACTGCTCAGTGTAACTTTATTTGGTTATACTGAGATACTGTTACTGAAGATGTCAACCTTTTTCAAATCCTCATATATCATTTATGTTATCAGTAGTCATTATTATAAGAATTGAATTTCAGGTGGTCCTTATTAGTGTTAGTATAT